TCCTTGGTAGGATTGTCACTCTGGACGAAACTTGGACTCGCTCATACAAACCGCACTTGAAGCGACAATCAAATGAATGGAAGCATCTCCTCATCCAAAGAAAGTGCGCCCTATACAGAGTGATGTGAAGGCGATGTTCATTGTGGCATGACATTGATGGAGTGATACTGCACCACACTGTACCTCAACAACAGACAGTAAACGCTGCCTACTACTGCAATTTCCTGTGTAATCATCTTCAGCCAGCACTCAGGTGAAAGCAACGACACTTGTTGGGAACGAACCCCATCATCCTTCATGACAATGCAAGGGCTCATACTGCTGACACTGTCAAGGATCTCCTTCGCAACTGGTGATGGGAGATACTGCAACATCCGCCATACTCACCCGATGTGAGTCTGTGCGATTATGATCTCTTTGCCAAAATGAAAGAACCACTGCAAGGGACACGTTACAACATAAGAAAGGAGATTATTTGTGCTGTAGGATGGTCACTGCTTGACATCAACAGAAGTGGATGCGCCGATGCTGTTAGACACCTTCCACAAATCTGGCAAAAGTTGGTACACATGGGGGGCGATTATATTGAAGGAATGTGTGTTTACCTCAGGTAATAAAGTAATTTCAGAACTACAGAGGTGTTGCCACTACTTTTTATCCAACCTACATAAATTAATGTCAAAATATTGAAAAATCACACTGGAATTTAAGGAATTAATATTGTAGCATGTTTTGCCACTGAAGACGCCGTTCGGATTGTTAATTGGTTTATTTAACAACCTACAAGTCTTGGCTACAATTAATTATAACACTGTTATGGGTTTCCACAATTTACAAACCCTACACAATATTCTATTCACTCTATCTTCAGTAGTCTACACGTATTCACAGTACAACACAGGAGCTATACAAGTGTCACTGTATCACACACTCCCAATTATTTCTCTTGTGAGCCAAGCATCTGCGTCTCACGCCATCACTTCTAATCACACGTTCCGGTATCCTTCTTTCCAGTTGGCTACTGTTCCAATTCAACTGTCTCCGGCAACGGCTACATTTCAACTGTCTTCGGCGGCTGCTGCATTTTAACTGTGTCACTCCTGATCACACACTGCTCACTAACTACTAACTAACTCTGAATAGTGTTCGCTGCTCCTTATTTAGCCTCGGCACGGACAAGACAGAAAACAGTTACGTGATAGGTACTGGTGTTGCCTGACGCCGTGTTTGCCGATAGCCTAGCAATGCTGTCGGGAGTTGTTTACTGCTGCATAGCAACCACGGCATCCCTTGGTCACTTCACCATGGGAGGGGGCTGGGTGTTGACTGGCCTATTATCGTAGCAGCGGCAAGGCTCCGAAGGTGTTACGTCACCGCTGGTGGGGGAAGGGGTGTCCTGCATAGCGCAAATACGTCACAATATAATTAAGAATTTAAACCTTTATGAATAACATTAAGTCCCTTTCTGATTTCATGTTGCATGGATATAAGCTGAAGGTTCAAAATAAAGTAAGATTTGCATCTTAACTATGCGCCAGTTTACACAAGATGGCTGAAAAAAGAAGACTGTAGATCAACGCATAAAGACAGTGTTGTTGTTTACTGAAACAAGAAATGTGGTCACATAGAGTAAGTTTCATGCCAAATTTCAAACGTGATGGGCACCTTCATTTAAAACAATTCATAAAGTTTATAACCAGTTTAATAATGATGGTATAGTGCTGCAGAGGAAACATTGCCAGCCTTCATCTATGTGTTCTCAGAGAACATTGATGCTATCAGAGTGGCACTGCAAAGAAGGCAGCAGCACAACTGTGGATATTGAGACGATCTGCGCAACAAATATTGAAGTGATTTGAATTTGTATCCATACAAAATGGCAGTGTTGCCTAAACTTACAGTGCAAAATAAACATCAGAGAATGGCATTTGCTGAATGGACTCAGAATAATGAGGTGTCATTCAGCAGTGTTTGGTTTTCTGATAAGGCATACCTCCACTTGGATGGTGTAGTTAGTAAACAAAATGTGCAATTTTTGGCATCAGAGAATTAATGTGTGATTCATGAGAAGGTGCAACATGCACTGAGAATTACAGTGTGGGTCACCATCTCAAGTCATGGACTTCTAGGGCCAATTTTCTTTGAAAAGACAGTGAACAGTGAGCACTTTTTAAGCCTTTTTTGCAATACTTCTGTGCCTCACCTTCTTGCTATAGGTTTTCCATTATAAACTCAGTAGTTCATGCAGGATGGAGCCAGGCCACACACAGCAAATGTTTTGGACTTTCTGCATGACGCTTTCGACTTGCATACCAATTTCCTGATCATTTCACTTGTGGACAGAACTAACTGTGGAATAGTCCTGATTTAAGCCCATACGACTACTTTCTTTGGCGATTTCTTAAGGAAAAGACTTTTCCGAAAAAGAAATGCAAACAATGGAATTGAGAGCACTAATCATTCAGGCCTGCAATGAGATAACTGAGGATATGTGCCGTTGAGTAATCAACATCACAGTTCATGTTGAAGAAGTTGCCAGACGTAATGGTGGTCACACTGAACACTTGATTCACAAAGGATAAATCTCCATGCAATGGCTTTTCTTTTTGTATTTTAGTTTCTAGTATTGTAATTGGAATTAAGATTATATTAATAGATCAAATACTGGATCATTTCGTGCACCACCATGTAGATGCCAGGAAATGTGAGAGAAGAACACTCGGGCTGAGTTGTCCACAATTACTTTACTCAAACATTGATCTATCCAAAGATTTCATATAGCCCATTCTGTGGTTTCAATTTTATATCACATACTATAATTGACCTTACCAACACACCAATCAATTCTTTGTGACACAACACAGATTGAAATAAGTGACTCATTTCAATCCCATGTAATTTAATATTTAAAGAATCCTGGGGTGCCACAGATATGGCACCCCTCCCGTTTCTCTTCAGCAAGCGCATGGCTCAAGTGACCCTATGTCCTCCTAAAGGTTCCACTTTGACTTCCTATTACCTATCCTCCCATAAACAAACATAATTTGACATTAGTCTTATGGGAAAACACACTGCGTAGTTCACTAAATACTACCAACATTTCTGACATTTCTGCTGCCTCCAGGTTCAAGATGAGAAGAGGTTCCACAGAAACTTGCACTCATCTACCAAACTACATGGCGTCGTATACTAGACGACAGTAGTCATTAAAGTACCTTTGTGAGAATATAAAATTTCACGGTCTTAATAGACTTCAACCCTCATACACCATGGACAGATACTATTTCCTGCAGCAACAAACCTAAGCCAATATAATGTTGGAGATTCAATAATTATTCAGCTACAGAGACTGTGCTGATACACAGAAGGCAGATGAGCAAACAGCTACCTTATTTCAACATAGTATTCTGGCACTGCCTGAAATGACATGAAGAAAATCACAAAAGCCCACAACCATGATGTCATAACCTGACTGAAATCAGTCACATACCTGTAGACATAATGCACCAACTTACTTCGTATCTTACTTCTCTAACCTCAGTTGTAATTCGACAGGAAATTTACCAGATTAAACCAGCAAGTAATATTTCCTTTCCTAGCCGACTTCTAGTTTTGAGGCTTTACCAAATATGCAATTTACCTACATTTTAATACAAAAAATAACAAGTCACATGCAAGTAAGAACATACTTTATTAATATTAAATAAAAACATAAAACTGTTAAATATAATCCAATTCAATTCTTTATTATTTATGTGCCGAGTCAACAACCGCAAGGCCAATTACAGACAGAGCACAGTGCACATGAAAGTAATTACATTATAGACAAACTTATTAAAGTCAAATACAAATTACAGGTAAGTACTTGGAAGAAACAATATTGAAGGAAAGTAAACAAACAAATAAATGATAATTATAACAGTAGTAATAATTTCATTATCATTAAACTAAGTGTTATTAAGAATTGAGTAATGAAACATAAATATTTAATTAAGAAATGAATAGTATAGATTTTCAGAGGATGATAATAATAATTCATTTTGTTTTATTGGACATGCAAATAATAAAAATACTAACAGTTATACTATATTTAAAATTTGTTTGGGTAGAACATTACTGGCTCCGAATACGTCAACCTCCCTGCAGACAACATTAGCAGCTGCTGCGCATCTAGCAGAGGGACAATTTTTAAATAAGGAGCAAACATTGAACAATGCAAAATCTCTGATATACCGAGGAGGAACTTGGGAGACCAACAGTTTCCAGAACAGAAGGGCAGAATTTTGAGCCAAAATAAACTTGAATAAGAAAGAGAGCATCAAGGCGATGTCTCCTAGTACATAAAGTATGTAATTTTAACTCCTCAAGAGCAAGAGAATAATTGTAGTGAACTTTAGGAAAGAAACGTTTAAAACAAAGGGCCGCAAACCTCTGCTGGATGCGTTCCAGCTTGTTGGCATCAGTTGACGTAATCGAATTCCAGACTACGGACGCATATTCAAGTTTAGACCTAACTAACGTAGTGTACAAACTGAACATACAGTCTAACGAAGAGAAGTTGAAGATAATGTTACGAACTAGACCCAATAGTTTCGCACATTGAGAGAAAATGTAATTGACCTGGTCATGGAAATATAGCTTAGCATCAATAAACACTCCCAGGTCTTTTACAGAATCGGTCCGGGCTATTGACGTTTGAAAAAGTTTATAATCGTAGATAAGTAAGTTGGTTTTCCTGGTGAAGGATATAACTTTAGTTTTACTGATGTTGAGTTTCATACAGTTTGCAATGCACCAACCTTGTATAGAGTTAATGTCAGACTGTAGTAGATAGCAGTCATGAGGGGAACTAATGGCTCGGTAAATTTTGATGTCATCAGCAAAAAGCAGACACTTAGAATGGGCAACTGCATCACACATGTCATTAATAAACACATTGAAGAGAAGGGGTCCCAAGACAGATCCCTGAGGTACACCTGAGAGAACTTCAAAGGGTGAGGAAAGAACACCAGAAACACGGACCTGGGATTTCCGGTTGGATAGGTAACTGCGAAACCAGCTTACATAACCACCAGAAAGCCCAGCAGCACTTAGCTTGTGAAGAAGAAGAGAATGTGGGACAAGGTCGAATGCATTGCTCAGATCAAAATAAATGGCATCAGCTTGCCTCTGAGAGCCAACTATAGAGGAGATAAAATCAACGTAAGTCACAAAATTGGTGCTTATGGATTTTGTTTTTGAGAAGCCGTGCTGATAAGGACTAATTTTTTATTTTAGATAATGGGAAACATGTTCATGAACAATAAATTCGAATATTTTAGAAAAATTACTCAGTAAGGATATAGGCCTATAGTTACTAACAGAGGTGCTTTTGCCTTTCTTGAGAACAGGGACAATGGCTACTTCCTTCCATAGGGAGGGAAAGTAATGCTGAGATAAGCTTAGATTAAAGATGTGTTTCAGAATAGGTAAAAATATATCAGTACAACCCTTAATAATGAATCCAGGGATGTCATCGACTCCAACAGACTTAGATGGTCTCAGGTGCTTAATAGCTTTAATAACATCGGAATCAGAAACAGACGCTAAAGGTAAGAACTCGGAAGATGACAAAAGGTTGGGGAAGACAATAGGACCAGGATTGTGGTACACTGTTTGAAAATGTTTTGAAAAATTCATCAGCAATGTCATGAGGTTCCATTAAATGCTTACCATCAACCCCAAGCTGGATGAAATTAGAATTTCTTTTCCTAAAGGGGGCCACATATTTCCAGTATTGCTTGGGTTGCGACTTTAAATTTTCGTCCACAGATTTCAACCATCTAAGTCTGTCAGACTTAATAGTAGACTTAACTAGCTTACGATAATAGGAAAATTTTTGGTAAAGGCAATCGGATTTCTTTTTCTTAAAACGTCTGTAAAAATAGTTCTTTTTCCTTATGTAATACTTTAAGGAACTAGAATACCAGTGCGGAAATTTAATACGAGTGTTTATGATGCCACGGGGAATTGCATGTTCCATGGCATCTTGAACAGCAGCATTGAGGCCGGCGACAGCAGAATCCACGGAGGTGGTACCATATACACAGGACCAGTCGTAAGTTGAGAGATTATTATAAAGCAGTGCATAATCCCCAGACGAAAATTTACGGTACGAATATTTATAATTTTGAATACAAGTGGCAAGGGACAAACAAATATTGATAATTAGTGGGGGGTGGTAATTGTCAGGCTTTATAAGTCCAGTATCAACAGGAGTAATACTTAGTCGCTTAAGTCAGAAAAAATTAAATCAAGTAGATTGCTGCTGCTGACATTATCAATGCACTCATTAAGATTTAGTAGACACGTGGAAGTGTAGATCACATTTCCCTTAAGTTTAGAGTAATAATGGGAATTGGGCAGATCTAAACGACTTTTCTAGTCGAAACCAGGGGCATTAAAATCCCCAACCATAATTACTCAAAAATTATGGGTATCCAGATTGTTTTCTAAAAAACGAACGTAATTAGCAATGTTTTCAGGATTAGTGTCAGGGGGAAAGTAATGATTTCCAATGAGTAAGTTGAGGCCATCTGAAGTGGGGATTTCAACCCATACACATTCATCACAAGATTCTAAATCATATCTGCATTTACAAGAGCGAATTCTGGAGGATAGGGCAGTGAGAACTCCACCACCACGTGTCTTATTTACAGACACCCTGTCAGAACGGAAAACTGTATAGCAGTCAGGAAATAAATTATGATCGTAACACAGGTCGTTTAGCCATGTCTCAGTTAAACATATAATATTGTAGTCCGTGGAGCAGATATTGTCATATAGTCCGACTTGTTTAGTTCTAAGACCTCTGACATTTTGGTAATATATGTCAAAACATTTTCCAGGATGTTTGCGAGACCTGGTAAAACAACCTGTGTTATCAGGCTTGCTAACCATTTACTATGTACAGAAGCGCCCTCCCCCCTGGGCAACAACATTGTTTACTGTATTTACGGAATCGCCTACAGGATCCATGGGTGAGGGAGCAAGGGGAGGATCATTACCTGCACCAGGGGAGCAAGGCCGAGAAATCTATGATTCTTCAACAGTATAAATTTGGTCAGGGCTTAATCGCCCATAAAATGGAGCGATTAAACAGCCATTAGGCCAGACTCCGGTATTATTAATGAGATGAAAATCATCCTCTGCAACAGAGACATGTCATGATGTACATGAGTTATATTTAGTTTTTAGCCTGGTGCAAGCAAGGGAAGCAAGCTGCAATTGATCCTTTAAAGATGCCTCAACATCAGATGATGTTACATCTGGGGAAAACCTAGAGACAAAAAGGGACTTCATGCGGACCCTCTTCTGCACAACTGAGAGAGAAGAAGAGCTTCTAACTCCGACCATGGCAGCCCTGGGTTTCTTGGAGGTATTGGCAACAGTGTTCACAATGTTAACAGGAGATGGGGCTACTCGCTTCTTCTTAACTACTGTTACAAAATCACCACCGGAAGGGTTTTCACCTGTCATAATGGATGGCTCAGGTAGTGAAATCATAGCAGGAGCTGCGACCTTGGCGACACTATGGTTTCCGTTTACTGCACATACAACAGCCCTGTATGATTTTGCTGTAATTGAAGTAGATGTACCAGCCTCACGCCGTGTTGGTTGTACATGTGAGGGCACCTGTTGTAGTTCACGCAATTGCATCATCATGGCTTCGTTGTCGATTCTAAGCTGCTGAACTTCACTGCTGAGATTCGACAGCATCACAATTATAGACTGCACCATTTCCATGGTACAGATGCCATTGGTGCGAAGTGTTTCCAGCTGCACGCTGAGGGAATTTTTATCCCCTATACACGAAGCAGTACACTGCAGCTCTGCAGTAATTGCTTCCTTCTGGTTCTTATTGCAGAAGGAAAGCTCGTTTGCAGCATCCCCTGTTAGTTTATTGCAATTGTCACACTTGTAAGAAGACTTACCGGTGGTTGCACTCACACCAGGCTCCGGCGAACAATTAGGAACACAATTACAGTGAAAGCGTGAATCGCACACGCCACAATGAATAGATTTTTGCTTACCGTAAAACGGCTTTTCACAGAGCCGACAGTGTTCCTTACTGGCCATACCTAAGCAGCGGTAGGCCTGTACACACAGGGAGACACTAGGCAATCAAGCGGGCGGGAGCACAAGCAAGGCACGTTTGTTCACCTCGAGCGCACGAGCAATAATGTACAGAATAATAAATTTAAATTTAGAACTGTAATATAAAATTACAAAAACAAATGGAATATCTGAACTCTTCATCGGACCGCTACAAACAGCTCCAGGACTGAGGTGTTCTCCTAAAACAGAAGTTGAAAATCACTATAAATATTTGTTATAAATTTCTATAAGTGTAAATGTCATCTTAATAAATGTGACTTGACTAAAAATAATTTATCCCAGTGAATAAAGTGAGCACCCACCTTCTGTGAATGGGCTTTGTTGAAGACATTCAAAAAGCAGTCTCTTACCCAGCACCAGTGACAATTGCTTCCCTGTCTGGAGTTAATGCCATACAGGTATAATACACTCTAGTTGAGTGGGCACTGAGACTGGCAAGCTGCATCAGGCCAGGATACTTCCAAACACCCATCTGGTTTTTAAAGTCACCATGGGTGATGACCTGCAACATATAAAGTGCATCCTTTTTTATTAAGAAGCTTTCCAAGGATCCACACAGAAAAACATTTTAAAAGGGTAGGCTTCAAAATGTTTACAGAATTAGTTACATCTTTGCAGAGAGCTAACAGAAAAGACATCTTTTTAAACTGAATAAATACACAGACTTTCAAATATACCCTACATGTTCCTGCTGTAGTGGTTAAAGTCAAAGTCTGTTCTGAATTGTCATTCTTTCTTGAAGAGCAAATCTAGCATAATTTGATTCACTTGTCTTTCAAACAAATTTGAGGTTAAATTTTCCAGTTCCCTGTGGTTTCTAATGACTGACTCTGGCACACCAAACAACAGCATTTTCCTGTTTTTGTCTGCCATTCTACTTATCAAGCATGTTAGGAACACCATGAACAGTGCATAAAGTATCCATGCACTAGGGCTATATCTGTCTAATGCTGGCAGAAACTGTGTAAGAAGTAAATGAAACTTACTGTTAATTAAAATCTACATAGGGATCTTTTGCTTCATAATCATAGTTCTTTTAGTGTCCACAGAGAGTAGCACTCAAGGCTTACTTTGGAACAAGATATTGAATCTCTCAATTAAAATTCGGTATTTTTCAATCCAAATGAAGCATGCAGGACCCAGACCATCACATCCAAGTTCACATTTACTGCAGTTTTGTTTAATTAACTCTGGAACTCATCACCTTCAAGTACTTCACCATCTGCACTGAATATAAAAGAGAATCCTCACTTTTGTCAAAAATGCCATTTCTACTATAAAATTGAGGTCTACTTTGATATACAAGAAACTTAGCAGTTGACAGGAATCTTTTGACCAGATGACATTATAAACCTGAGACCCTGCACCGATCAGCTGCACCACCAGTAGCCAAGAGCCCACAACAGTGTGGGGACCATGCAATAGCTGCAAAGTAAAATGTATTAATGTACCAGATTTATAACAAATTGCGTCCAATTAACCATTAAGTTGCAATGTAAAGACCAGACTTCTCAAACCTGGCATTCCATAATTCAGTACCAGCTCTGCTCTTGCACAAGCTTAGTTTGCCAATCACTTCCCCCAAACAAATGAATGCTGGGTGTCCAGGTTCATAACTGTTTGTTTACAGGTATTGGTCATATACAATGTGGATGTCAGTGTTTTGCTTTGTACTTCCTTTACTGTTTACACCTAACTTGTCATATATCATCTCTTTACATTCCCTTTCCTTATTTCCTTATACCAATATCTTAAAATTGTGTGACAACACTAACACGTCAACTATGTTGACTAGGTTCAAAAAGTTCTGCTGTCATGCTCTGGTCTGGTACCAAGGGTGCTAGATATGACAGTTCAACCTGTATTTTGGTCAGAAAGCCCATTACATAAGGGATATATTACATAATTCCCCTGCTGAGATGCATCAATAAATATATTATCCATTGCAGTTGCAGAACCATTTTGTAATCTTGTTGGAAAATTCACTGTACTCAATAAACTGAATGAAGCTAACAACAAATCCATTTTCTTCTCTTTGTTATTATCAGTTAGATAAGTAACATTTATATCACCACAAAGAACTACCTTAGTATTATTTCTAAAAAACAAATTAAGAATAGATTCTAATTTAGATAAACGAGAGTAAAATTACCACTAGGAGCTCTGTAAATTGATATAATATAAATATTATCAGAAAAGTTTTATAATAAAACTGCACTTGCTTCAATATGTTGATCAATAGAGAATTTGCTCAAATCAATTTTAGAGTAACTTAAGTCACTACATAAATACAAACACGGCCCTTTTTCATAGAACATAACTGTCTCCCAGAGTATAATTTCCTAGATGAACTGTCTGATTTTATAATGCTCCAGGTGGTTTTCATTTTGTTAGTAGAATTAGAAATTAATTTATTATAATGAAGATTTTTAGCTCCTTCAATAACACTGGCCAAAATTTTACAGTATGTTTTATAATAATATTTCAAACCTGGCTCATGCTGTGCTGAATCCCTGGGAAAATTGAAAAATTTAATTCCAGTCTGCTCACTGGAAACTTGTTCTATATATGGAGGCTGTATTGCAAAATGTGGATTTCTCGAACTAATAAAAATACGAATATGAGCATGAAGCTGCAACTGAGATAGGTGGAAGGGAAATACGCTAACTACTGCCTCTAAGAACAAAGGCAGATACTGCACGCAGATCTCGACCAATCAGAGAGCCTTAGCAAACCAATTTGAATTCCCGCAATTATATGCGGATATGGAGGTTCATTATATACAAATTTGTAAGTATGAATTTTAATTAGATGTGGTTGCGAAACGGAAGTAGACATTTGCGAACAAACTTACATCTCCATAGTAAACGTATAATTTGTGTATATGAAAGTTATGCTTACTACCACAAATGAAATTAGAAACATAGAATTCTTTCAAGCCGAAAATTTTTGAGGTTATCATTAACTGTCATCTAAACGATATTTGTTTTATGATATGTTCTGCAAATTTTGGTTTATCCCAAGGATTGTCTGTAGTATGTGAAGGAGTTCTAAGGGTACCGTTATCATTTTTGTATTGTTTCTTGCATTATAAACACGAAAACAAAAACTTGTGCAGCTGCTGGGTGTTTTGTCATCCAGAAAGCGAGGCATCAGTTTCTTCAGCTTTCCAAGGGATCCAGCACGGTATGTCTATTTTAATTCATGGTGTAATTAGTTAATATGTGTAGCTTAATCCAATGAATAAATAAGTTTAGAGTATGTCTGTGTTCAATTTATTCAACATAACCACAAAATTTAGAATGTGTACCTCCTGAACCAGGTTTTGATTTGTTATCGTCGTTCCTCTAATTTTCAAAATTATTATCCCCAGAACCCAGTTCTCAAACAAACATAATTTTCATCATTTATTACAAAACTGTATATCAATATACAGGTTACATGGAATATGTCACAATACTGATGCTTTTAGGGTAATTAAAATTATCTGAAAAGCAGAACACACAATCAGTAATATGATTTATGAAAGAAAGAGGTGACAGAGTCTTTGCTATGAGGAATAAAGTAATCAAATTCACAAATTCTTTTTTATGGCAGTCCTTAGCAAAGTGTGTTATTTTCCACCCTGGAGAACTATCGTAGTCCATTATGTAAGGAAGCTCACTGACTTCCTCTTTAATGTTCTTTCAGGAGCGTGCTGCAGTGAATACCTGGCGACAGCTGTGTTTGTTGAAGAGGTTGACAACTTCTTTGATAGTTTGAATGGTGGAACATGTGTTGACCCTTGGAAAACACTGCATTGCCTGCTCAACAATAACAGTCCCCATATAGAGCACTGGAAAAGGGCAAGTATGGGGATAAAGAGCTGGCTCTTCCTCAAGGATGGTAAACCTGCCTTTCTTCAACCCCCTTCTTCACAGAATGGGTGGCTAATTGACATCACTGCTGCCCAGCATCTGTGGAGGGCACTGAAAGAGGCAGGTTCTAAGTACCTTCACACCCGAAACCTGAATCAGGATCCCCTTGAGAACACATTTGGGGCTATTCGTTTGAACTGTGGTTCTAACAATAACCCAACAGTGGGACAGTTTGTAGATGCCCTGAAGACCAACATCATCAGTGGCCTTGCTTTTAGAGGTCTGGGGGGAACTAATTGTGAGGATGATTATTATTATTATTATTATTATTATTATTATTATTATTATTTCCTTATTCCATTACATCTATAGTAGGCAAAAGCCTTAGATACAGAATTGTGTCAATTTATCTTGCTAATACTCATAAGCAATTGTCAAGAAGACTTATAAAGTAAGACAATGCATGTTTACATCATAATACAATTTGTCTCTAGCACAATACATTCAAATTTATCGTTGATTAAAATTTAAGATAAAAGTTTTCATCAAAAGTAACAGAATATCTTATACATATATAACAAATCCAAGATATAAAAACATTACATTTATAAAATTACAAAATTAAAATTTCATGATGACTACATATCATTTGTCCCTAGTCCAATAAAACATACAATCAGGCCTCGTACAGACAGCCCAAGTTGTCAGGATAACACACACAGGTCGCGGGAAAACCACTGTCAAATTCACAACTTGCCATTCCACATACTGGTAGGCCATATCATCCAAATAGTTAGATTAGAAAACATTAGTTGTATAATAATTATCTCTTAAAATATTCATCAAGTGTATAAAAAGAGTTTATATACAGAAATTCCTTCGAATTGTTTTTAAACTTATTTATATCATTAGAAATTACTTTAATTTTATTAGGTAGTGCATTGTAAATCCTTATGGCCATGTGAATTACCCCATTACCATATTTCACCAAATTTACCTGGCTCATATGTATGTCCATA